GGACTCTCACATCTAGTTTCTTTACTCTAGAAGCGATGTCCTGCCACAAATCAGCAACCCATATGGGTCTTCCTCTACGCTTCCAGCTCATGTTTTTCCATCGTTCTAGCCATCCCCATAGGGCATTTGCTATCATCCATGAGTCAGTGTAGAGATAGAACCTTGGCCATCCTTCTCTCTCTGGGGACAGCTTTGAGTTCTGCAAACTGACTCGATTCACCTTTACCTTCAGTGGCCTCTGCCACTCGTCGGGTGGGACTCCAAGCGGCTGCTTTCCACTTCCGGTTCCCTCCTATAATACGGCAAGAACCGTCAGTGAAAAGAGCATAACGTGTCTCTTCATCTGGCAGGTGATTATATGGCGGAGCTTCTTCAGCTCGACTCACTGGCTCTTCTTCTTCTTCATCTGCCAGACTGAAGTTCCCACCTTCAGGTCAATTAGTTATAATTTCCAAAATTCCGGGGCGATTCGAGTTTCCAATTCGGACACGTTGCATAATCAAAGCAATCCACTTACTCCACGTAGCATTGGTAGCATGTGTAGGAGGCACTTTCCCTTTGAACATCCAACTCAGCACCGGTAGTCAGGGTGCTAGGAAGAACTGCACTTCAGTGGTAATCACTTCTGAAGCTGCTTGTATGCCTTTGTATGTCGCCAGTATTTCCTTCTCTATAGGGGTGTAGTTGGCTTCAGATCCTTTGTAGCTTCGGCTCCAGAAGCCAAGTGGTCGCCCTCGTGTTTCACCAGGCACCTTTTGCCAGAGGCTCCAGGAGGGACCGTTATCTCCAGCTGTAGAGTAAAGTACATTCTTTACATCTGGTCCCGTCCTGACTGGCCCAAGAGCCACAGCATGTGCAATCTCTTGCTTGATCTGCCTGAAAACCTACTGTTGTTCAGGACCCCATTGGAAATCGTTCTTTTTACGGGTCACAGAATAAAGAGGGCTCACAATTTGGCTGTACTCGGGGATGTGCATCCTCCAGAAGTCTATGGCTCCCAGGAAAGCTTGGGTCTCTTTTTTGTTTGTCGGTGGAACCATTGCTAAGATTTTATTGATGACGTCTGTTGGAATCTGGCGCCTTCTATCTTTCCACTTCACCCCTAGGAATTGGATCTCTCTGGCAGACCCCTTGACCTTGCTCTTTTTAATGGCGAAACCAGCTTCGAGGAGAATCTGGATGATCTTCTCTCCTTTGTCGAAAACTTCCTTTGCTGTATCCCCCCATACAATGATGTTATCAATGTATTGTATGTGTTCTGGGACCTCACCCTTCTCCAGTACAACCTGAATCAACCCATGACAGATGGTGGGACTGTGTTTCCACCCCTGGGGCAGTCGATTCCAGGTATATTGCACACCTCTCCAAGTGAAAGCAAACTGCGACCTGCACTCTTCTGCCAAGGGAATGGAGAAAAATGCATTTGTTATGTCAATGGTAGCGTACCACTTCACTGTCTTGGACTCCAGCTCGTACTGGAGCTCCAACATATCTGGTACAGCGGCATTCAATGGCGGCGTGACTTCATTCAAGCCACGATAGTCTACCGTCAGTCTCCATTCTCCATCAGATTTGCGTACAGGCCAAATGGGGCTGTTGAAGGGTGAGTGAGTCTTACTGAGTCTCGGGAAACGCTGTCATCTCTGTCTTTGTAGTCATCCTCATATTGGGAATATTCATAATCTCCTTCCATTCTTCCCTTAGAGCGGGTGGGTTGACGTTGGACATCGGAAAGATCTTCGAAATTCTCTGCTATGCTCTGTATCCACTGACACATTGTTTCTACATCCGGTTCATCCAATTTTGGATGGAATGCTGAAATTAGGCAGTTGATGTATTGTGCAGGGGCACCTTTAATCACTTTTCTCCACATTGGATTGGTACATGGGAGACTCATGGGGTCTAAGATATCATAATAGTCCAGCTTACTGAAGATAAGTTCAACCATGGCCAGTTCCTGTAGATTTTGAATACCTTCTTCTGCAGTTGTCCATTTTCCTGGAGAACTTGTTAAGTACTCTTTAAACGGATATCTCTCTCTCACCGCATTAAAGATCCTAAGCCAGAGACTATGACTATATGGCTCTTGTGCAATCCCTTGTTCAATCTCATGGTCTCGAGCCAGAGATCCCAACTGCTGTGCTTCGTGACCTTCCAGCATGTGACTTCTAGCTCCATTGTCCCAGCACCTTACCAGTCAGGTTAGAATTCGTTCACCAGGCCGATGACTATAATCTTTTCTTAAATCCCGGAGCTCTGCTGGGGTCAATGATCGTAATACTTCTGATGTTCTCACGACTCCTGCTTCTGGATGGACATCCCTCCTATCCATTTCCACCTCTCTTTTGACGTATCTATGTGGAACTGTCTCCACTCTGCCTCTCTCACATGGATGTGGAAACGGAACATGCCTTGGGGATGGGCTTCTGACGGGTGGAGGTAATGAATAATCCTCTGGACCCTGGGATGAGGATTTCAGATAGTCCTCCATCTCTTCTGTGGAACAGTCAAGAAGAGTGTAGTCAGGTGTCAACATTCTCCTTGGCTTTTGTGTTCCATCAGGCACCCAAGCTGCTGCCCCTTCTTCCTTTGGACGCATCCCCCTCTCTTTTGGACGTGCCCCCAATTTCTTTGGGACGTGCTCCTTCTCTCATGGCTCGTTCTTCTTCTTCAGTTACATGCCTCAGTCGTGGGGGTTGGCTTGTGGACCCTGCATCGTCCCTTATCCACATCTTCTCTTTTGTTATGGGGGCGATAGTGATTTCAGGATCTGTGGTGTGGGCCCCGGTCTTGGTCATAGAGGTGGCTGTAGGTATTGACATGTGAGTTCCCATGTTCATGAAGTCCATAATTGGAACTCCAGTGTCAGCAGGTTTGGTCCAAGCTGTGCTGGCTTCAAATGGCGTCTGGACTCTGGTCTTGGTGGACTCCATTCTGAGTGGCGTAGTTTGCGTCCCTGACTCAACCTTAACCGTCTACAGCAGCTCGGTAAGCACTAGCCAGACCCCAACACAGAACAGAGATTTGGGTATTTGGATCCTTGTATGTAAGACAACCCTCCATTAAACGATGGGTTATCTCGTTAGGATCAAAGGCCTGTGCTGGCGTGAAGTCCCAAGTAATGGGAGGTGCCAAGCGCCCTATCCATTTACCAAACTCTTCCCGTGCTCCTTACCAACCAGGAACTGCCCTTTTCAAGCCCCTTTCCAAAACTCCAGGTAATCCCTTTGAAGTATGACCTTTCCTAAAACAAGGAAACTAGCGTAACACAATCCTTCCAATTCTAAATAGTATGTTCATCACATTCATCATAAACAAAATTGTTGCCACACAATTCAGATAATAATTAGAGGCAACAGTCAGTCTGGGAATTTCTAGCATCCAGCGTTTAATGTCAAGATAGGAAGAATACCTTTCCCAAATGTCTCACCAATTGAACACTGTTGGATTTGGATTGTCCCACATGTAGTAACCTAAAACAGGTGCAAAAGCTGCTAAGAGTACATTGAAAATTAAGAAAGTGGCCATTATTTATATAACTGTCCTCACTGTTCTTAAACAAGAGGTATATTTATATAAACAAATCCCGCTTGACTGCGATCCCGGCACTGTTCCCAAACAAAGGCAATGTTTGGTAGAACTTGGCCACCTGCCCAGAAATTGTTACCAAAACAACCTACTGGTAGTCTCGGTAGAACCTCCAAAAATGTCCCAGGTTGGACTTGGCTCCCAACCAAGTGCCTGGACCCCGGGGACAAAACCTTCCCCCTCCCTTTCTTTCTCTCCCAGTCGGCCGAAAAAAAAATCAAAAGATCCCAAACTGAATTAAATTTTAAAGTGGAAGATTTATATATACATAAAGAAAATTATATACACATAAAGAAAATTATATACACTATTACACCCCCCAAAAGGGAAAAGGGAAGGGAAAGGGAAAAGGGAAAAAGGGATAAAAAGGCATAAAAAGGCATAAAAAGCTAAATACTCCCCTTGAGAGAAAGCGAGCCACACCACACAGCTGCTGGCACTGTTTGCCTCTCAAGGCCAACCAGATGCGCTAGACCTCACTCCCTCGCCCTGGCAGAGCGACAGTAAAGCTACTTCTACCTTCGGTCCGCTGGAAGAAAGAAAGAGAGCTTCCTCTCTCTCCTTAATTATACTCTTGCTTACATAAAAATCGTATGGAATACTGGGAACATGACCTTGGTTCCTTGGTTACAACCTGATCACCAAGGAAGGCATAGACTCAAAACCACTACAGACTCCACACAGCAGCTTTCCACCTCCAGTTGTTTACTACCACACAACAGGATCCATCAGTAAACAGAGCATAATGCCTTTCATCTTCTGATAAGTAGTGGTGCCTCTTGAGCACGAGCCACCTCCTCAGGCAATGCTTCAAAATCTCTACCCCCTAGCCAGTCCATAATCTCTTCCAGGATTCCCAGGCAGTTGGGTTTCCCCAGTTGAGCTCATTGTGTGATCAATGCTACCCACTAACTCCACTGGTTGCGTGATGTGTAGAGGGACTGTTTCCTTTGAACATCCTGTGTAGCACGGGCAATGACAGTGCCAAGAGGAGACATGCTTCTGTGATGGGTTGACCCTGTCTGGATGCCGGGTGCCCACCAAAGCCGATCTATCGCTTCCTTCCTCAGCTGGGCAGGGGAGAGAAAATATAACAAAGGGCTCATGAGTTGAGATAAGGACAGGGAGAGATTACTCACCAATTACCATCACAGGCAAAACAGGCTTGATTTGGTGATATTAATTGGATTTATTATCAATAAAATCAGAGTAGGATAATGAGAAGTAAAACAAATCCTAAAAACCCAAAAAATCCTAAATCCCCCCACCTCTCCCTCCTTCCTGGATTTAACTTTATTCCTGATTCTATACCTCCTTCCCCCCCCAGCAGTGCAGGCAGACGGGGAATGGGGGTTATGGTCAGTTCATCACATGTTGTTTCTGCCACTGCTTCCTGTCCAAGGAGAGGATTCCTTCCCCTGCTTCAGAGTGAAGTCCCTCCTATGGGAGACAGTCCTCCACAAACTTCTCCAACATGAGTCCTTCCCACAAACTACAGTTCTTCATGAGTTGTTCCAGCATGGGTCCCTTTCCATGGGATGCATTCCTTCAGGAACAGGCTGCTCCAGCAGGGGTCTCCCATGGGACCACAAGTCCTGCCACGAGCCTGCTCCAGCATGGGCTTCCCACGGGGTCACAGCCTCCTTCAGGCATCCACCTGTTCTGGTGTGGGGTCCTCCATGGGCTGCAGGTGGATCTCCCCTCCTTCACTGGCGTTGGTGTCTGCAGAGTTGTTTTTCTCACATATTCTCACTCTTCTCTGGACACAATTAATTCAGTGCAATAATTTTTTCACCTTCTTAAATATGTTATCACAGAGGTGTTACCTACCATTGCTGATTGGTTCGACCTTGGCCAGTGGCAGATCCATCTTGGAGCCAGCTGGCATTGGCTCTGCAGGACATGGGGGAAGCTTCTGGCAGCTTCTCACAGAAGCCACCCCTATAGCCCCCTTCTACCAAAACCTTGCCATGCAAACTCAATACAGACGTTCTAATCTGTCATTGATGAATGTTGCAGTGAAGTGTTTTCTTTTTCTCTTCCATAATTATCTTCTGTTGTTTTCATTTTCCCTCAACTTCTTACGATTATGTTTATTTATGCTGGTAAAAAGACTTTTAGTTGGCTCTCACTAGAGTTTAAGGTGCTTTATATGCTTACTTTCTGTCTAAGGTTACTTGAATAGCTGAATCAGACCTTTATATAAGTCTGTATAAGGACCTAGTTAAGGAGGAACAAATGCTGCTTGGCTGTGCAACAGGATCTAAGGGCTTCAAATTATTAGAATAAATATGCAGTTAGTTCTCCTAATATTGATCAGTTTTTCTATTTTTCATTGAGAACTTGGAAAAGTTTGTGAGGTTTAGTTTGTTTCTTTGTTCTTGTGTTTTGGGGGATTTTTTGTGTTCTTTTTCACAAGACCTGTTTGCTTATTTTTATGTTGAAGCTTCTTGCTGGAAGAATAAAGTTAGATAAACCTTTTAATTGTACCTTATTTCTAATATAAGAATATTCTGCTCTGAAAAAGGATGTGGTAGGAGTTTTTAGGATTGACTTGAAAAGCTAGGCATCAGATTTGTTGGACAAAGATTTATAAAATATTCTCAATATTAAATTAAGCATATATAGCATCAATCAATGATTTCCACTGCCTTCAAGAGATTCTGAAATTGTATTAGTTATGATGATGCGTCTAAGTAAAATACTAGCTTTTAAGAGTTTTTCTTATTTAAAGAATCCATAAACTTATTACAGTAACTCAGTTATTGACTGATCTGCCTATCTGTTTATAGTTACATTATAATAAAGAGGAGAATTACTTACCTTCAACAGTAGCAGGCAATTTTTCTTTCTTCTAATCAGCAATTTTGCTTTCAGCTAAAGGGATAGGAGCCACAGAATCGTGCAAAGGTGTCAGAAGCTGACATTCACTTATTCTTCTTTGTCCTCTCCTACCCCTATCTGCTATCATCACCATTTAATTGTATGACTTGATGTGAATATCCAAGAGGATGTAGTGTTTCTGTTGTAAAATAACACTGATAACTGAATTTGGAATTCAAAAAATGAAGAATTGAAATTCTATGCTAAAACATAATTTATAATAGACCAGGTACTTTCATTATCCTTTATAAATACATGCTGCTTGTATTTTGTATTTTATCTCTTTGGATTTGGGAACAGTTTTAAGGAGATTTGTTGTAGAAGTTCTTCAGGTGATGTCAGCTGTTTCAAAAAAATTAAAAGAATATTAGTAATTGTAGAGAGACTACGTAAAGGAAACAGTATATTAATATGGTTCTCATCTTTTGGAGATATGATAGCCTTATGCTCCTCAGTCTGCTAGTACTCTTCATTAAAATAAAAATATTTAAAAACAGTGTTTGTCATCAATAATCATAGCCATGAAGCATATTAAAGGTGTAAAGTTGCTTGCAGCAGATTCTTACATTGGAGATAGGATGTAAGGGGAAGGAAACAGCTATCTTTGACATGAAAACTGTAGCAGATCAAAATTCCTATTAACTTTTAACCTGTTGCAATGCATCTGGACAGCATATACTGTTATTCCTTTCCCCTCTATCCTCCTCAGCTTTCTTTCTGTAGATCCAAAAGTTACTACTTCAGACAGGAACTCCTTGACTAAAAAAGCGAGAGTTCTGTCGCAATTATGATCAAGTCCATTATGAAATACAACTTGCCACAGCCCATATTTTGAGGTGGTGTTTCTACCTCACTTTTCCAGTAGGTTTCAAATGGGTGACAGATGATTTTGAATTATTATGTTTTGTCTGTGCTTTGTTTTGACTAACAATAGGGTAGTAGGCACCTCTGAAAGAACTTGCTGTTGCTTCATAGAATCAGAAAGGGATACTATTGCTATCCTGTCAGATTTAAATAATAAAATTTCAAAGTTATGATGATTAGGGTAATTATTGCTGAAGTCAAAAATGGGAAGCTCAAGGTAGTGATGAATATAGCTGGATGATATCTTAAGCATTTTGTCCTTTGTGTTTTCTGAGCAAACTGTGCTCATAAATGGTTTCAGTATAGGTAGCCCAATAACGCATTAATTTTTTTTTGAGCTCTTTATCCCAAAGACTAACTTAATAGTTCTAGCTGTAACTATTCAAGTTGTGAAAACTATTTAGTTTTTGAAATAAGTCTGTCTATTGAACTGTGGGGTTTCGCTGAAGGGGATGCTCTTGCCTTTTGCTATCTGTCCCAACTGTGTTCCTTCCCTTTTCCATGCTGCCTCTGCAATTTTCTCGTCTTCTCAGTGAATCAGGTGAAGAGACTGACCGTTAGCTTCCAGACTGGCCATGTTCTCATCTAGTTGACTACACAAATGCTACTGTGACGTCAAGAGAGATAGCAGCAATATGCTGTGATGGGATGAAAAAATAAATAGTCTTCAACAGCAGTTCATGCTTTCTTGGACTTCATTCTCAGGTTTAGCCCTCAAATGACTAAAAATGAAGACATGAGGGAGGGAATATCTTCTCAAGTTACATGGTTTTATGCAAGGTTAAAATGAGATGCTATGACTGATTTGAAAGGTCAATAAAACTGAAACGAATCTCTTGAAGAATAGTTGAAGTTGTGTGCGCAGAAAGTAGTGGTTCAAAAGAGATGCTTATTTTTCTCAGTATTGAGATAACTGCTCAAAGCAAGCATTCAGGTATTCTCACTTCATGACACTACTGTGGAAATGTTAGAAGTAAGCAGGTTCTTTGCCAATGGTGCTATGCAACATGAAAATCATCACACATAATTTATACCAGCAGACTACTCAATTTGCTTTGGCTAATCCTACAAATTACCTAAACTGACTTGAAAGTTTTTCCAAGTTCCATATTTGCTTTAGTACGTCCATCTCAGGCTATACATCTGTTGACAACTATTTCTTCTCATTCTTATCTTAAAAGTAGAACTGAACCTTGTATATTCTACAGGTCTTCAAGTTGTATTTTTATTAGCTTGACATGTAAATTTTGTGAGGATGATTAATGAGACTTGGAGATAATTGCCCTCAATAACTTTCCATGATGCCAGTAAGCACAGAATATTTTCCAGTATGTCATCTGTGATTTCTGAGAACTGTGGTGGGTTGACCATGACTGGATGCCAGTTGCCCACCAAAGCCGTTCTATCACTTCCCTCCTCAGCTGGACAGGGGAGAGAAAATATAGCAAAAGGCTTGTGGGGCAAGATAAGGACAGGGAGAGATCACTCAACAATTACCATCACGGGCTCAACAGACTCAACTCAGGGAATAAAAATTAATTAATTAATATCAATCAAATTAGAGTAGGATAATGAGAAATAAAAAAAAAATCTTAAAAACACCTACCCTCACCCCTCCCTTCTTCCTGGGTTCAACTTAATTCCTGAATTCTCTACCTCCTCCCCATTCCAGCAGCCTAGGGGGACGGGGAATGGGGGCTGTGGTCAGTTCACCACACATTCTTTCTACTGCTCCTTCCTTCTCAGGGGGAGGGCTCTTCACACTCTTCTGCTGCTCTTAACATAGGGTTCCTCCCACAGGAGGCAGTCCTCCACAAACTTCCCCAACATGAGTCCTTTCAATGGGCTACAGTTCTTCAGGAACTGCTCCAGCATGGTCCCTCCCATGGGATGCAGCCCTTCAGAAACAGACTGCTCTAGTGTAGATCCCCTGTGGGGTCACAAGTCCTGCCAGAAAACCTGCTCCAGTGTGGGGTCCTCTCCCCACAGGTCCACAGGTCTTGCCTGCTCCAGCACAGGCTTCCCACAGGGTCACAGCTTCCTTTGGGCATCCACCTGCTCTGGTGTGGGGTCCTCCATGGGCTGCAGGTAGATATCTGCTCCACCATGGACCTCGATGGGTTGCACGGGGACAACCTGCCTCACTAGTGCCTGCATGAGAATCTGATCTGGCACCTGGAGCACCTCCTCCCCCTCCTTCTTCACTGACCTTGGTGTCTGCAGAGCTGTTCCTCTCACATATTCTCACTCTTTTCTTCCCTGGCTGCAATTGTTTCTGCACAATAGTTTCCTTCCCCTTCTTAAATATGTTATCACAGAGGTGTTACAACCGTTTCTAATTGGTTTGGCCTTGGCCAGAAGTGGATTCTTCTTGGAGTTGGCTGGCATTGGCTCTGTCAGACATGGGGGAAGCTTCTAGTTGTTTCTCACAGAAACCACAACTGTAACCTGCCCCCCTAACCTTGCCATGCAAACGAAATGCAAGAACATTCCACTAAAATAGTCTGCTACATGTCAGAAAGAATAGATGACAAGGAAGAAAGCATTGTTTAAGAAAGCTAGCTAGTTGTTTATGTATAAACAAAACAGTAGTTTTATGTCTCAGAGCTTTTATATTGCTACCGTCAGCACAGTATTTGAATGCCATCCATGCAGAATTAATAAAAGTAATAGCAAACTCCATCAGAGTTCAGGAACTCTAGGTTTTCTATCTTTCAGCATCCAAGTAGAGCTGACATATTTTTTCTCTTAAATATTCTTCTAATGGAAAATAGGCTACCTGTAAATTCAGAATTTACTGTTCTCTAAAGTGAAAGTTTTCTTTAACCTACATTGTGCCTCCTAGCTGAGAAACCCTGAAGTTAGGGTTCTATTGCCTTAGACCTGACTTTCAGATTCTCCAGGAGTTGTAATTGTTGCCTATCTTGTCTTTCTGTTTCTTTCCAGGTTGGCCAGCTCCCTTTCTGATGGGTCTATCATGGCTAAAAAGGGTTAAAACATTTTATTTTTGCTGTCTCTAAATGAAGTTTCAGAAACTGCATTCATTACTAAATTTTGAAGTCTTTTTGTTTGTGTCTTGCATAAAAGAAAAATTTAGAACTTCCTGAGAACAGGAATTCAGGGTTTTGGATAACTCAGGTGATGTTTCTCCTTCAGAAGGTTCGCCTTTGGCTTATTTTAGTTTGTTTACAATATATCTTTTGTTTTGCTTTCAAGTAGAGGGTGCTAGGTGAGGATTTAAGGAGTAAAGTCATTAAGTATGAATATAAAATGAAAAGGCAGTTAGAAAGTGAAGTTTAGACTGGGCAGTGTTACATTATCCCAGAGAAGCTCTGTTGTGGTTCTTCATAAATCTAAATTGAGTCTGAGTCAGGGCCAAGACTTTGACCTAACACTGACCTCTAATACTGAATATGAGTCTGTGTGGATCTGAGGATGGCCCTGAGGGTCCTGTTGTTTTGAAAATAAATACCTATTTTATTTTATTTTATTTTATGGTGAGCAGGATATTGTAACCCTACATTATCTTCACAGATTATTACATGCCTTTGTGATACATTTTTAAAAGACTCATAAAGACTCATAAAAGACCCATTTGCCATGCCTCTGTGGATCTGTAAAGTAATCTATAGTAGCTTGAGATTCACCAGGTTAGATCAGGAAATGGTTGCAGCTACAGTCTACATTCAACTGTAGAAGGTTCTGTAAATAGGTGACCTTAACCAAGTAAACTAAACACATATTTTTTTTTATTTTATTACCATGTATCTTGAAACCTTGGGATTGGAACTCTGCAAGTGCTTCCTTTTCCTTTTGAATTGGAGATTTACATGGATTTTTCATTCTTCCTCAGCCTTTTCTGGTCTGTGTCCAGTATAGTAGAACTGCTGCTCTCAGCTCTCTGCGTCACAGGTTGCCAGGAGTGCCTGATGCCTCTTCTTGAGGCTGGGGCTGACAGTTATTTTGCAGAAGGTGCGCTGTGGTTGAAGAGCTGTGTTGCCAGGTATCTTGGTTTAAAGACAATATATTTGGGTGGGAACTCAAATGAAATTAACCCCTGACCTTTTATAGAGACCAGAAATGTGAGGAGATTTAAGTGAAAAAAGAATAACAATTTTACTAAAAGAAAGTAGCAATGACTACAAAAATACAGGGGAAATTGTTTACCCATAGAAGAGGGATCCACCAACCATGTGACCTCCCCTCCTACCCCTGGGAGCAAAGGGAAAACAAAGATGGCAAAGAGTCTTCCACACTGAGCCACCCGTCACGGCACTGACACTGCCTGTTTGGCTTGGCTGGACTTGGGCTCCACTGGTTCTTCAGTTTACTTTGCGCGGCGGGGGCGGTGGTGGCTATTCCCACATGACTGGGGTGCCAGTGGTGGCAGCAAAATTTGAGTTGGGGACCTCGATCTGCCTGTTCATTGTTATGATATTCTTCATTAGCTTGACTCTTAGGCACATGTGCATCTGTGGTAGTTTTAATCTAGGTCTTCCTTGGTGACCAGTTTGTAACCAAGGAAATGACCATATTACCAGTATTCCATACAATTTTTACGTAAACCAGGGTATAAATAAGAAGGAGGAGAGGCCTTCGCTCTCTTCTCTTCTGGCGAGGTTCAGGAGCAGTGGGTCCTTGCATTGGTCTCCTTTATCTAGAGGCTGAGGCCTGCAGTGACCGCTGGTCTACCATGTGGGGGATTTGGAGAGTGCTGGCTGTGTCTGGCGATCTCGCTTTTCTGAGGGGCATGGTGAGATTTGTTTTGCCAGTTATTTTGCTAGTTCTGGGGTTTGATTGTGTATATCTGTTCTGTCCCCCTTTTTGTCCCTTTTTCCCCTTTCCCTTCAGGGGGTGTTTAGATTCCCCTCACTGTGTACATAGTATTTTAATTGTATATAACTGTAATATACGTAAAATATATATTTTTATATAACTAGCTTGATTTTGGGTTCTTCAATTTTTATAGTTTTTTTTCCTTTGCCCTAAGGGAAGAAGGGAGGGGGAAGGGGTTGTTACTGTGAGTTCAAGCATTTGGCAGGGAGCCAGGTCTGAACCATCACAGTGTCTACATGGTAGACTCTCACGATCAACTTCTCTACCTGGGTGGCAATGTCTTGCCACATTTTGGAAGCCCAGAGGGGTTTATGTTGCCAATTTTATGTTGCCAATTTACCCTTTTCCATCTGTTCAGCCATCCCCACAGAGCAGTAGCCACTATCCATGAGTCAGTGTAAAGTCTTGACCACTTCTCTCATTGGGCAATGTCCAAGGCCAGTTGGATGGCTCTGAGCTCTGCAACTTGACTCAATCCACCTTGTCCTTCAGTGGTGTAGTGGGTTGACCCTGGCTGGATGTCAAGTACCCACTAAAGCCACTCTCTCACTCTCCCTCTGCAACTGGACAGAGGGGCGAAAAAAAACAGCTAAGAATTCATGAGTTGAGATAACAGCTGGGAGAGGTCACTTACTGATTACCTTCATGGGCAAAACAGACTCAAAGTGGGGATATTACTTAAATTTATTACTAACAGGATAAGAGCCAAAGAGTGAGAAATAAAACAGTCTTAAAAACACCTTCCCCCCACTCCTCCTTCCTTTTATGTTCTCCCTCCTCCCCCCCAGCAGTACAGGGGGATGGGGAATGGGGGTTAAGGTCAGTTGTTGTTGCTGCTGCTGCTCAGAGAGAGGTGTAGTGGTTTGACCCTGGCCAAATTCCAAATACCCACTAAAAAAGTCACTCTCTCACTTTCCCTTTGGAACTCCACAGAGGAGAGAGAAATAAACCAGCAAGGATTCCTGAGTAGAGATAAGAACTGGGAGAAAGTCACTTACTGATTAACTTTCACGGGCAAAACAGATTCAAAGTGAGAATAGAACTTAAATTTATTACTAACAGGAAAAGACTTAAAGAGTGAGAAATAAAACAGTCTTAAAACACCTTCCCCCATCCACCCCTCCTTATTCCCATGTTCTCCCTCCCCTCTCCCCCAGCTGTGCAGGGGGGCAGGGAAGGGGGATTGTAGTCAATTTGAGTCCACCCCTCGGGCAGCAGTTCTTTCCAATCTGCTGTCCTGTGGGTTAGTCATCCATGGGGTGCGGTCGGGTCTCTGCACCCCGATGGTCCTCCATATGCTGCAGGGGGACAACCTGCGTCACTATAGTCTTCACCACAGGCTACAGGCGGGCCACAGCTCTGAGTCTTTCCCCTGTTCCCATGAGGGTCCCTTCCACGGGAGACAGTCCTTGATGGACCTCTCCAATGTGAGTCCATCCCTTGGGCAGCAGTTCTTCCCAAACTGCTGTCCCATGGGTCACTCCTCCATGGGGTGCAGTCCTTCATGAATGAGCTGTACCAGCGTAGGTGCCCCACAGGGGCCACAAGCCCTAAGCGGGAAAACCTGCTCCAGCGTGGGCTTGCCTCTCCATGGGCTGCAGGTCTCTGGCAGGACCCTGCTCCATCTTGGGCCTCCCACAGGTCACAGCCTCTTTTGTGCATCCATCTGCTCCGGCATGGGCTTCTCCATGGGCTGCAGGTGGGTCTCTGCACCCCGATAGTCCTCCATGGGTTGCAGAGGGACAGCCTGCTCTGGCATGGTCTGCACCACAGGCTGCAGGGGAACCTCAGCTCTGGTGCCTGGAGCACCTCCTCCCCCTCCATCTGCACTGGCCTTGGTGCCTACATTGTTGTTCCCATGTTCTCGCTCCGGTCTTCCCTGGCTGGAATTCTTTCTGCACAAATACCTTCTGTTCTTAAATATGTTATCCCAGAGGCGTTACTATCACTCTTGATTGGTTTGACCTTGGCCAGTGACAGGAAGCCTGTCCTGGTGTCGTTGTTGAGGACGGCCAAAAAATAAAAACTGGGCACTTTTATGATGATGCTCCGATATTCAGCATTTATTGCTTTATATACAGCTAAAAGTTCTCTCTCTCATACACACACACACACACTCACTGAGCACAGAGCCTTGCATGCCTTTCTATATCTTCTTATCTCTAATTTGTTAGTACCTCTCACATACAATTGGCTGTTCACTCATTGTTTACATTCCTTCTCCAGTGGTCAGGACTGGCACCTTCTCAAGTTCTCCATGGCCCCTGTTTTTCTTCAGGGTAAAGGCCTTAAGGTGTCTAAATCAAAATCCTCCTCCTCTATATCCTCCAACAGCCTACCCCCACCTCCTGGAGCCTTCTGGCATTGACTCCACCAGACAGGGGAAGCTTCTAGCAGCTTCTAACCGAAGCCACCCCATGTAGCCCCCCCTGCTACCAAAACTCATCCACAGAAACCCACTACAAGTTGCTTCTGCAACTCGTGTGGGACTCCATATGGCTACTTTCCATTTTCGGTTCGTCCCTACAATGCGACAGAAACCATCAATGAAAACAGTGTATTGCTTTTCATCTGGGTTGTACGGTGGACCTTCCTCAGCATGTGCCACCTGTTCCTCTTCTTCTGCTAGACCAAAGTTCTCACCTTCAGACCAGTTCATGATTATCTCTAAAACCCCAGGGCAATTAGGGTTTCTGATTTGGGTGTGCTGAGTGATCAAGGCAATACACATTCTATGTAACATCAGTGGCATGATGCATGGAGGGAACTTTTCGTTTGAACATCCACCCCAGCACTGGTAGTTGGGGCACCAGGAGAAGCTGTGCTTCTGTGCCAATCACTTCTGAGGCAACTTGAACTCCTTCATAGGCTACTAGAATCTCCATCTCTGTTGGGCTGTAGTTGGTCTCAGAACTTCTGTAGCCTTGGCTCCAGAATCCAAGTGTTTGGCCTCGAGTCTCCCCAGGCACTTTCAACCAGAGGCTCCAGGAAGGACCATTCTCCTTGGCTACAGAGTAAAGCACATTTTTCACCTCCTGTCCTGTTCTGACTGGCCCAAGGGCTAGAGCATGAGCAATCTCCTGTTTGATCTGTTCAAAGGCTTGTTGCTGTTCAGGACCCCACTAGAAATTGTTCTAGCGTGTTTATGAGGTAGAGAGGATTTATAATCTGGCTGTATTCTGGGATGTGCATCCTCCAGAAATCTACAGCACCTAGGAAAGTTTTTTTCCTTCTTGTTGGTCAGTGGGGACATTGTTGTTATATTGTTAATCACTTCTGTTGGGATCTGACAGCCTCTGTCTTGCCACTTCACTCCCAGCAACTGGATTTTACTCTGTTTAATGGCAAACCCATCTTTCAGGAGAATCTGGATGATCTTCTCTCCTTTTTTAAAGACTTCTTCTGCCAAGTTCCCCCATACAGTGATCCCATCAATATACTACAGGTGTTCTGGAGCCTCACCCTTCTTTAGTGCAGCCTGGATCAGTCCATGGCAGATGGTGAGGCTGCGTTTCCACCCTTTGGGCAGTCGGTTCCAGGCATACTGCACACCCCTCCAGTTGAAAGCAAACTGTGGCCTGCACTCTGCTGCCAAAGGAATGGAGAAAAATGCATTTGCAATGTCAATGGCGGCACCATTTTTCTGCCTTGGACTCCAGCTCATACTGAAGCTCTGACATGTCTGGCACAGCGGCACTCAGCGATGGGGTAACTTCATTCAAGCCATGATAGTCCACTGTCAATCTCCATTCTCCATTAGACTTACACACTGACCACATAGGGGCGTTAAAGGGTGAACTAGTCTTGCTGATCACTCCTTGGCTTTCCAGCTCACAGATCACCTTATGGATGGGGATCACGGAGTCCTGGGTAGTGCTGTATTGCCAACAATGCACTGTTGTGGTGGCGATCAGCACATGCTGTTCTTCAAACTTCAGCAGTCCCACAGCAGAAAGGCCCTCTGAGAGACTGTTTAATTCCTTCTGTGTCTACAGCAGGCATCCTAAAAGCCCACTGATGTCCTTTTGGGTCTTGGAAATACCTGTTCTTTAGGTAATCAATACCCAGTATACACAGGGCCTCTTGACCAGTTTCTGCCACTCTTTTCCAGTCAAGCTCTCTTCAGCTTCTAGCACTGTCAACTCTTGGGACCTCCCTGTCACCCCAGAAATGGAAATAGACTCTGCCTTCACATCCTGATGACATCAGAGTGCATTGTGCACCAGTGTTGACCAAAGCCTTATATTCTTGGGCGTCTGATGTGCCAGGCCATTGGATCCACACAATCCAATAGGCACAGTTATCCCGTGCCTCTACCTGGCTAGAGGTGGGGCCCCTCTAGTGCTTGTTTTGGTAGTCATGGCTTTCTCCCTGTGCATACATCCTGAAGGTCCCTTCCAGAGGATAGGACATGTCATCGTTTCCCCTGTTCTGTCTAGGAGCTTGCCCGCGGGAGACTGGAGCTACATTCACTCTTGATGAATTTCTCTAATAGTCTTTTTTCCTTTTAACTCCTGTACCCATGCTGCTAGAGCATAACGTCCTCATGTCTTCCCCATGTTCTTGTAGGAAGAACCACAAGTTGCCTCGTGTGGTGTACTCCCTTTCCCTAGCTGGGAGATGGATGTTCCTAATAGCAGGGACTCTGGTTTACACCAGCAAGACATGGAGAATGCTCTCTTTAAACTCAGTCTTTGGTGGCCATTTCTAACTTCCTCTGTCAGAATCTGGAGGTCCACAGCCAGTTTCTCTACTGAAGAGATATGGACCTGTAACAGGGCATGGACAATCTCATCGTATGTTGTCATAGTTCTGATTTCAGCAAGGAATTTTTCTTTCCCTTCCCTCTGCGTGTGTGCTCTGTGTAATGGGTCATCAGGTGAACAAAAGAATCGACCCACTAATGGCCAAGAGATTAGTCTCTTAGACAACGAAGGGGGAGGAGTTGGGGGGGGCTACTGTGGGACTGGAGGGAGGTTGGGAGGTGGGGCTGGGTGTCAGCTCAGCTCTCGACCTCGAGCAGAACCTGCTGCGAGCTGCAGACACTGCCTGGTTCTTTTATTTCCTGTCGGAGGGGAATTTTACTGCTGCTCTCTGCTTAGATGTCGCTGGCTGCAGGCCCCGCTTACAGCGAATCCTAACCAACTGAACTTTGTGAGTTTTTCTTCCATTGGGAGAACTTTCTGTTTTGTTGTTGTTTTTTTTTCTTCCTTCCCCCTTCCCCCCCACTCCTTCTCTCCTTTCCCAGTGTGGGAGGAAAGGGGGAGTTGGGTTGTTCTTTTTGGTTTTTGGTTTGTTTTGTTTTTTTTTTTTTCTTTCCCTCTGACATACCGGGAGGGTGTTGTTTTGCCCCATCCCACGTGGCAGTGACCAGGGATCCCACAGCGCTGCCTGGTGATGGGCACTGGACATTACAAGTCCTGCTCCTCCAGTGACCTGACAGCGCCCCCTGCTGACTGTGGTTGGAACTGCACCAAAGGGTGCAAAAAAAAAAACCAAAACCTGAACTGTTTAATTTTCATCTTGCCAGTTTATCAGTTTTGTTCTTGAAGGGGATTATTGGTGGATATAGGAGCATTGCTTGGTTGTTTTACTTGTTTTTTTCCGTGTTCCTGTTAATACACACATACCTTTTAATAAAGGGCTGTTATTTTTCCCTTTTCCATAATTTGTTTTCCTTCAATCAGAACCTCTTCATTTCGGATTTATAATTGCTTAGAAAGAGAAGTTTGGGTCTTTTTCTCCTAATCCATCCTCAGCAAAAGACCCTTGTCTCATTTAAACTGGGACATATGTCTAGAGTTTATTCATTACAGCGCCCACTGTCTCTTGGTTTTCCTTCCAGTGCATTGTCGCTAAGAAATAAGAGTATATTGATGGCCCTTGGCGTGCGAGCTTTAGCCCCATCTGTGATGTGCACTTGACCTTGCCTGGGTGGTTATTGGATTGCCCATCCCCTGCAAAAAGTACCTCTAGCAACACCATTTCTCTCAGGCATAAGATTCCTTGCTCCATGGTCTTCCAGGGACTATGATGCACCTGGAGGTCATCCCTGTAAGCAAATCTATATCTCCTACTTGTTAAAAGCCATGTCCAGAGGTGAAGGGGTTCTGATTTCCTCATGAAAATCTTATCAATACCCACATCCTAGGACAGGGATCCTAAAAACCTCGCTTCAGTACCATCAAGCTGCTTACCTTGGCCTGTGTGGTGGGTTGACCTTGGCTGGGCGCCAGGTGCCCACCTAGCTGCTCTATCACTCCCCTTCTCAGCCAGACAGAGGAGAGAGATTAAGGTGGAAAACAACTCATGGGATGGGATAAGGCAGTTTATTTAAAGAAAAAGCAAAGCAGAAGCTTGCATGTGCAAAAGTGAAGCGAAGCAAAAGATAACATGTTTTATTCTCTACTTCCCATGAGCAGTGATGGTCAGCCACTTCTGAGAAGCAGGGCGTCAGCACGTGTAATGGTTTCTTAGCAGGCAACCATTGAATGCCTGCCTTCCTGCTCCTTGTCTTGACTTTTATATCTGAGCCGGCATCATATGGTA